CCCCAAAACCCCAAAACCCCAAAACCCCAAAACCCCAAACTAAATGGATAGACAAAAATGGAGACAGAGAAAAAAAAATAAAATGAAATAAAAGTTAAAATTTCTAGAAATTTCATAGTTTTAATTTAATAAAATCGAGATTTTAAAGAAATTTTTAGAAAATTAAGCTACACATTATATAAAAAACTCATTGAATTTTGTTCATACATATATTGATACATTTATCTATGTACAAGATTTGCTATAATAAGTTATTCTATGTTCATCATTGGTTTGCTTGACTGTTATTACTCTCAAAGCTCTGATTAGTTGTGGTTGTTCTTTGTTGAGTAGCAGTTTAGGTATTTCTCTCTCCCATTTTTCTAGCTTCATAATCAGCATCATCTGTTGGAAGCTCATACCTGCATACTGGGCATTGATTATGCTACTTAAGCCATTCTTCGATGCACTCTTTGTTGAATAAATGACCACAGGGCATCATAGTTGCCTTTTCACTAAGATCTTCACAGCAAACTGTGCATCTTGGGTATTCAAGAGATCCGTCAGACTCATTTTTCTTGCAGAACTTTTCATTGATCTCAACTTCTGGGAGATTTCTGATTGCTTGTTAAGAAGCAGGAGGGTTACCTGATCTTCCTCTATCTTGCATAGAAAGTCTCATGATTTGCTCTAGAAAATTATCATTCATAGAGGATCTGAAGTTGAGGTCAAATGGACTCAAGCCAAACATTGAGGGAAATCCTCCTATTATTGGAGAAGACTCAATAAACATGAATGGTTATGGTTGAGGTGCTGGGTTAGTGATGTACTCTTATTCAATAATAGCTTATTACCCATTGATTTCAGTAAGAATTCTTCTGACAACTCTTCTTTGAGGTTGAGGAGGGGCTTGCCTGATTAAAATTTAGGGTTGAGAGAAAATTCCATTTAAAAAGATCAATGGATTTCTATCTTGATTTCTAGCAGGTTGTTATTACCCCTACCCATTCAAACTGTTGGAGCTTTGGTTACTTGAAGCTCTATTTTACTATACTTGCTAACTGTTTGTATTAGAATGCACTCTATTTTGACCATTATGGTCTTGTAGCTAGCTTTGAGAAATGATCTCCTCACAAAAGGTTTGTTGGCAATCTGGGCATTCTACTTCATTCATCTCGAATACTGGACTCATTTTTTTGAAATTCTTGTTGCAGATATGGCAGAAATACTTTTTCTGGACAAGTCTGTATGAAGTTGACACTTGCTGTGATAGTTGTGGTTGTTCTGAACTCATTTTCTAAAAGTTTGTTGGAAATTGCTTTTGTAAAATAATTAAATTTTATCAAAGGAACGACTAATTTAAGACAAAATTCTTTATCTAGAATATTCTTTTTAGAAAGTTCTGGAAAAATTTACTGTTTTCTCTAATAATTATCTAGAATATTCACTCTAATAATCGAAATATTGGTCTAATTCTCTATATGGGGTTTTGGGGTTTTGGGGTTTTGGGGTTTTGGGGTTTTGGGG